AACTGCCTTACTTGGTGTGATACCATAGCAACTCATAGTCCCCATCATTGCTTAACTCTGAAGGTCCTCAGCAGAGTCTCACAAAGCACAGCAAGTATGTGTGGCCCCAGCAACGTGGGAGATGCGGGGATACAAACAAATGTAAATAATCTTGTCTGAACAACAGAACACGGTGGAAGGGACATACCGAAGAGACCCCTGCTTCAAAGGAGGAAGTGGAAAGTTAGGCAGAGGAATTCATCCCTGCACTGGTCAAAATTGATCAGTTTTTCAGTTTTTGCAGCAAACACTTGAGCCTCACACTTTGCGAGCACTAACACCTGTAGGCACAAGTGAATGACTTTCCAAACACCAAACTCTGCTAGACGATGTGTTTTCCCTTCTGGGAACTCCAGGCTCATTAAAATAAACTATGAGGTCATTGAATGAAACTAGGGGAAATTTTTGGTATTTGTTAATCATAAAGTTACTTCTGAAAGTGTCTTTTGGATATATCAATGTATTTGATTTTATGGTATCACAAGGAAGGTTTGCTATAGCTCTAGGCTGCCAGTTTTCCTTGATGAAGGAAAAAGAAAGAAAAGAAAATGGAAGAAACTGAATTCCTGTAATTTTCTCCACTAGGGAAACAATGAGGCTAGGAGGGTGCTTGAGAGAATGAGCACTCAACAGCTGAGTTAATGAGCTGTCTGATTTCACACTCTCCTTGTCTTTAGTCTCCAAGAAGCAAGCTATTCAAATGGACTATCACTTGAATTACCTTGGGTATCAGTGTCCAGATGCTTGTAGGGTGTGCAGAAAGAGAAGCATATATCTGCATGCTTAGGGACCAAGTCTATTCTACTTGAAGGCAGTGATTTACGTGTATGACAGAATTCCCGAGTACACAGAAAGCATGAAGCAGATTTTTCTTTTGAAAATCCAGTCATAAAATTTATGTGAGTCTTGTAATTTCATAACATCTGCGTCTCAGTTTTGCTCCTGTGATTGTTATCAAATCATAATTTCATCACAAGCCTATAATGTTTTGAATTAAGAGTGCCTTCTCCTGGAGACAGGTAATTGAGAAAGAAATAAAATAAAAGAAATCGCTGAACTTCTCTTATAAAAGAGTTTCTAAGGCTTCTTTTTTGTAGAGAAGCAGTTGAAAAAATTACTCCAGTGAACCCCCAATGCTCAAATACCAACAGTCAAAGATAGAAGTATTAATGGACTATTTTGAAGTCAGTCTTATGATTTGTAAACAGTTGAGAATGTCAACACCAGAATAATCTTCTTGCCTGATTAGCATATTGGAATGAATAAATACTTAAAAACAGTTAAAATAGTTTTAAGTGCAACGTAAATGTTAAGCCATTATTAGTTAACTACTGCTGCTTTCTTACACAAAATGGTTACTCAATACAAAGCAAGTGCATACAGTGCTTCTCAATACAAAGCCAAACCCTTAGCTTCCACCCCGAATCAAAATTTTTAATGCTGTTTTCAGAAATGCTTGAAACTATCAGGAAATCCAATATCATGTTTTCCTTATGTGTTCTCTTCTTTTTCCTCTTTCTTAGGTATCAAACCTGCTCAAACAATGGGCTGGTGGCTGGTTTCCAGAGTCAGTATTTTCCATCTGTGCTTGACCGTGAATGGCAATTTTACTGCTGCCGCTATAGCCGGAGATGCCCGTATTCATGCTGGTGAGTTCAAGCAGAAACCAAACCTGTTAGCCTCTTTTCCCCAGCAGTTCATATAAATGTCTTTGGCTACTTGGCCCATCAAAAACCTTGTCTGAGAAAAAGTTAACTGTGTTTTATGGGGCTAAGCCAGTTATTTCCAGTCTGGTAACAGGATTCTTGAGGAACCATGGCTAAGGGAAGAGAATGAGGGCACAGTTATGCTGAAGAGCGCAACGCAGTAGCTAGCCCTTAATGAACAGGCCTGGGTACCAGCAGCAGCCTAGCTATGCTAGAAACCATGACAGAAGTCTCCAAAGTGGAATGACATTTCAAGGGTGGTGATATAGCTCCCACTATAAATCCAGCACATTTACAGCAGCAGGAGCATCTCTGTGCTACACAATTGTGCCACAATGACTTACAGGAGTGAACTTCATGCCATTTACCTCAGAAAAAATACCCTCTGGCTGACAACTTGGGATTTTTGTATTTGCAGTGCATACAACTTGCTCCCTCTCTCAAGGCTGTTTGAAGACCAAAGTCAAAATGAGCTACTGATCATAGTCCAAACCTAAAAAAAAGGTGGCCTCACCTCAACACAGTATCACAACTGGTGCTGGCAACCTCACAGAGGCTATGGAAAAATGAGCTATACATCCCAAGCTTCCCTGTTGCCCCAGGTGTGGTTTCTCTAAATTGAGATGGAAGAACAGTAGCAGACTGTGTAGAGAAAGCTCATATTGCTCCTGTCCATTCTGTGTAACAGAACTCATGATTTTATGCTCCAGGGCTATTAATCCAGCTATTTTCACTGATACAAAGAATAACCTGCCTGCGCTTTAAAAAAAAAAAAAGACAAAAATAGGGGAAAAATATCTGTGCTTGAATCTTTGATTCCAGAACTCAGCTTTGAAGTAAACTTCCCATTGAGATGCACACAAACTGTTTACATGCCCGTTGGTCTTACTTGTCTGGCTGGCTACTGGCCAAACACAACAGCAGTGCCTTGCTTTGCATCCTTCAGTGTCCTTGCAGCCAGGAGGAAAAGAATTGTTTTATTATTATTATTTTTAAATATTTTAAATGACAGGAACTCTGTAACAAAGTCTTTGAACATTCTTCTGCCCCCTTTCCAGCCTACACTGCCTACGGATGTTCTCTGCCGGGGGGTTTATTTACATACCTGCCCAGGCTCTTCCCTTTGAGGGAAACTCACTCTAACTTTTAAGCAGTTCTTCCAATCTCTCTTACTCCTCTAATATTGCATGTATTTTCAGAGAGACAACAGAAATCTTCTCCGACCTCTTTTGTTGTTGACAGTTCTGCTTCCCTCAGACGTCGTCTTGACAACTGGGAACAGCTTTGTCTCTGCCTTGCAAATTGGCATTCAGAGTAATGCGAATCCTAATGTAAATGTTTGGGGTTACTGATGTCTTGCGTTTCCATCCCAGCTGCACACAGACTCCTATACTGCCCTTCTATTTCCAACAGTGACAACACTCATTTTTTATGCTTGGAAAAGAATGCCTTATGTAGTTCAGCTGCTACTGCCTTTCCATGCAGAAAAGGCAGCATTTCAAAGGCAGGTGAAGCATTTCTCCCTCTAAGCAGAGTAGAAATCCCATGTACTCATGTTCTTCTGGGACGGGAGAGCTGTAAAACCTCTGGGAGGACCTGTCACTGGTTGGTGATTATGGGTTCATTATAAAACCATTTTGTACCCTGTATTACCAGGTTCAGTCGCTCCATCTAGAGCCCAGTTTGTTCTGTTCAAGCTACTGGCCTGTCTTGACACTTCCATATCCACTCTCACCCTGGACAGTCTCTCAAACAGTTTCTTCTACTTGAGAGCCTTGTTTGACCTTACTCTCTTGAAGTGCCTCCTTACAATATATTTCTTCCAATTTTTTTCAAGCTCTCATTCTGTCTTTGGAGTTAGCAAGGTAGATAGAAGCTCTTTCTACATACAGTTATCCAAATTAGGATGTTATGGTATGGATGGACAGACTAACAGTTGTTAGATGGACTACCAACTAGATGGGTAAAAAACTGGTGGTTTAACAGGCTCAGCGGGTAGCAGTTAAAGGGTGATACCCTGCCTGGGTGCCCATTACGAGCAGAGCACTGTAACTAATGGTCTACCCTGGGACCCGTCCTGCTTAACATCTTTATCAATGACCTTGGGGAGGCAACAGAGCACACTCTTGCCAAGTTTCCATATGACACCAAACTGGGGGGAACAGCTGATACGCTTGAGGGCAGGACTGCTGTTCAGAGGAATATGAAGAAAACCTTTTCCTCTATGAGGACAGCGAGATAGTAGAGCAGGTTGCCCAGTGAGGCTGTGCAGGCTCCATCCTTGGAGGTTTTCAAGACTCGACTGAATAAAGCCCTAAGCAGCCTGGTCTGACCTTGTGGCTGACCCTGCTTTGAGCAGGGGGCTGTACCAGAGACCTTGAGGTCCCTTTCCACTGGAGTTATGCTGCAATCCCAAACAGGACTCCTCTGCTGGAGGGCCCACACCATGCAGCTAAACTCTCCTCTCCGAAACAGTGGTCTCCTGCCTATTGTCTGCCGGGAATGGTTTCTCTTCTGTTTTATTCCCTTTACCCTGCCTAGACAGTGTCTGGGAGAGTGCTAGTTGTTACGCTAACATATAAGCAACATGAACTGCAATGTGGTAGCGCGAAACCCCATGCTTTGGACCCACTCTTACTACTACAGATATGACTTGTCTGAATTTTTAAAATTCACTGTACAGCAACTAAACTTCCCATTCCCTAATAGGATATCACTCACAACTTCACTTCTTTCGGCATTTCAAAGTTATTGTCACAAAACCTTGTTCACACATCATACTTCTGGTCTGTATCTTGTACTCTGTTTAAGATGCATTTGACAGAGACAATGTGTTTTCCAAACATTCTGCAAAGCAGTTCCGGGCTACCATGGGTAGGACCTCAAAATGTATATGCATATAAGACACAATAAAAATGTGTGTGCGTATACAGTATCATTATTTATTACAGTTTCTGCCCCAACCTATAATGGTATTTATTCTGTTCCAGAAACTAGCTGTCAATAAACTATCTGTGGAGAAATTACTGTTAACATGCTGCTGACTCCTGTTTCTTGGTTGAAGCAGCTTAATTTCATGCAAAGGCATCTATTAGTATATGACTATGTGGAAAAGTAATACCAGGAAAATATGTAATGGCTGTGGTGCCTCCTGGATCATGCGTGACACATAGGAAAATCCATATTCAAAGACAATCCACATTGCAGAATTTCTCAGCAGCCTTGAATTTTAATGTGCAATGAATCCTTCATTATGAAACCAAATATGGGCAGAAAGGCATTTTAAAGAAAACTGGCAGTACTGAGGCGTAACAAAACTCTTTGGTTTAAATTAGCTCTCACCTTGGGTATTTGGTCCCTTCCTCTTCCAGTTGTCTATGTATGGGGCTCTCTGGCAAATATAAAAGCAGTAAGACAGCTGATCCTTATGCATGGCTTCTCTTGGCTCTTCTTCTTCAGGACTACATTCCTCCTAAAGTGAGCTGGTCTTCCCTACAATGAATAAAGACAGGTTTTCCCCATATATATGAGCCATGCAAATGGTTTGTTAGAATTTGACCCGGTTTTTACAGCTGGAACATTCCTGTGTTTTTTGAGTCCTGCTAATACTTATTGGAATACTAATTTATGACACCATCATGCTGATTGAAACCCCCACTTAAACACTTTGCTTAACTTAAGAACATTATTAAACCAAATACATGCTTAAGGACTTTGCTTGGTAGCATCTATATCTTTACTCTTAGAGCCCAGCAGTTCATTTCACAGCTCGTCTTCTCACCATTAATTCCCAGTTTACCTGTACAGTAAGCCCATACTGAAAATAAATATACTAATCTTTTCCAGTCTCATAGTTTTGCACTTGCTATTTTCAATTTTTTTTACAAGTACTTTGTTTCCTTCCTCACCATGCCAAGTCTTGTCATGGATTCTGCACATTTTTACCGTACTGAAAATAATTAACATTCCTCACAAGAGGCAGAAAAAAAAAACATTATTTTACCTGGCTAGGGAATGCTACCACAGTAAAATAAACTGTGTGCTGATTTGAACCATAAAGGAAGCAAATCCATCGCAGATGCAGGGACAGTGTTATTAAATGGTCCCATTAGAGCTCAGATTTTTCTCTTTGCCAGGAAATTGAAAGCTTGACTCCATACTCTCAAAAGCAAACACATGTCACAGAGCAGCCCCAAGTCTGCACAGACTGTTTATGACTGTTTCCCCTCTCCAAACAACCAGCAGTCCAAGTGCCAGAAGGTCTGTCTGGAGCTGTGGCTGCTCTCTGTCACGGTGATGTTGTCCAGGCAACAACTACATTTTCCAAGAGTTATGGGGCTTGAAGAACTTACTTGTTTTCTTCACTCAACCTGTCACCAAAGCCATATTGAAACTGATGAGATCCTATACAGGTTTCTCAGAGATTACCAACAGCAGAGATGTAAATCCAGGAGGTGAACTCAGAATAGATGCGGTGCAAACATGCACTTCTGGGCAACTCAATTCCCCTCCCCTCTTTTTTTTTAAAAAAAAAGGTATGTAACTGATTTTTTTTATATCCCAGCAAATACAACCTTACAGTTCAATCTCCTGGACCATCCTCCAGAGACATCTTAGGAGAAACACATCTGCTTAATATTGGGAAGCTGGCTAATGTTATTTCAGACATGTCTTTCTTGAACAGCTCAGGTGCCCTGAGCTCTCTGCTGCTACTTGCATCAGTATTGCACTAGCTCATGTAGGCCTCCAAGAAGAACTGTGGTCCCACTGTGTTGGCCTCATGGCTCCTCAGCCCTGTGAGAGTTTGTTTTCACTACAGCAGAGGGGAAACAGAAGAACAGTGATGTGTCTAGGTGAATCTATGATCTCAGGACCTGGAGCGTGAACTCAATCCAGAAACGCACATGACATGGCCACATGAGAAAACTGCTCATCTCTAGAGCAGCTCTAGGACAGCTCTAGTTCCCTGGCAGCCCAGCAGTCTGGGATCTATACTGGGAGCATTGGCAGGAATTTCTGTAGACAGTTTACTAAGACCTTCTTTGGCTTTTCAGCACAGTATGCTTTTGAAAAAGGGATGCCCGCTGTCTTCCAGCTGGAGGAGGAATTGAAATTGATTGAAGAGGCATATAATTCGCATGTTCACAGAATGTAACATGCAGGCTCATGGCTCTTGAAACAAAATTCTCCTTTAGGAGACCCATATTCTTGAAGCACTTGTAAATAACATCTGAAACAGTAAGGCCATTCAGGGGACACTCCTTGTCCTCAAAGGTCAGAAAGTTAATGTCAAAGCTTGTTTCCCTCTTGAAATGGAACAGCTCTTCTTTTGGCTGTGGCATCCTTAGAGGAGGAGTTCAGCAGCAAAGAGGAAAATGAAGATTAAAGAGGAGCCATTCATCTTGTTAGCAGTGTAGTTGCACAAGAAGTAAAAAGTGTAAGGCACTCTGAAACAACGTACTTACTAGCAGGGAATAAGTATATTCAACAGTTGGAGCAGGAAACCATGAGCTCTACCATTGACTGTCTTTGATATTTTAAAAGACTCATTTCTTTTGTCTGCTTGACATCTGAAGGCAAGGCATACCCACAGTTCCCATTTACTTCTCTAAGGGGCGGGCTGTACAATACTAATAAGGCCATTGGTGTGACTTGATCTTCTAATCGGTAAAAAATAGACTCATAATAACTATTTCTGAAGTCAATCGTTAAAAGAGTGCTAGGGATCACTGTAGATTAGTACAAAACATTCTTCTTCATGCTAAATGAGTAACTCTCTGTTTTTTATTAATCTCTAACATAGTAATTCTTCCTGATGGAAAATAAACAACATTACTACTTTCAGACTAAAATAACAACAGTAATCCTGTTAAAGATTTAATGCCTTTTTTCAATACATTTCCTGCCTGAGCAAGATTTATAGGATTATAGCAAGTACATTAGAAAAACGTGGGGATGGGTGGGGTGATGCAAACCAGTCAGAAGATAAACCATCCCACATCAACTCTATACCAGCTAAAAACCCCATTATGAAAATACCTTTTTCTGTCAGGTTTTCCTGCTTTCCCCCACACGTGCCAAACCATTTACATCCCTTCTCACAAGCTTTTCTTTCCCAGTCTTTAATGTAGAATTTAACCTGCTTTCTCTGCTCTTGACAATGCCACTAGTGCCCCAAGTCTCTTGTGTCCAAACATCATACACCTGATACTAACCTGAAGTGGATTTGCAAAGCCGAAGTAGAATTCCTCTGTTTTCTGTATTAATTCTTGCAAATAGGTCACATGGATTGAAAAGACCACCACTTGCTAAAGGTCTCATGTTACTATTTTCTCCCCTATGAGTCCTTCCCCAAACTTAACACCTATGTACATATCTGGGTTTAGTAAACAATCCCACTAAATGCATCCTGCTAGCCCCTACACAGATCCTCTGCCTCCTCAGGGTTCGTTTGACACCAAATTACTCAGTGCCTAGGTCCCACAATCAGTATAACGTAGGTCTTCTCACAGCTGCTTTGCAAGCTTCTCTTCTAGGGCTTTCCCTCATGTACCCTCTCAGACACCACAAGCACCACAGCTTGGTCCTAGAGGCCTCAGATCACCCCAAATGGCAGCAGCAATTTTGTCTAAGCACTTGGCAATTCCCAAGCTTCTCACTGCTCCCCTAGCCCAGTTTTCTTTGCTAAGAGGTCAGTGCCAGAAGTGTTTACAGGACCCTCATGCAGGTTGCTGTGGATGGCTCTTCCCACATGCGTCTTGCCCTTGGGCTTGGACTCCTTGGGAGTCCAGACTCCCGCAGGCAGGCAAACCCTCACCAACTAGGGCAAAAAGCATCTCTCACTTGTTTCATGACTCCTCTCAGGTATAAACCATATACTGCCACACGTGGCTCACAAACGCTACCACATTTGTAAATAAATTACCTGTCTGTAGGGCCCTGGTAGGTGGTTCACAGTTGATACGTAGTTGATATGCATTAGAGAGTAAAACACTTAATATTTTCAGTTAAGCACTTGATAATAAGGTTACACACCAAGCTACAACAAATGCTGGGGGAACCACTGTCCTCTGCCGGGCAGACCACTTTGAGAAGAGCCTTAATGGCTAAGTTAAATGACCTTTCCATGACAAGAAAACCAAGTACTGAATATCCCTATGCATTAAACACTAGAGCATCTCTCAGTGCAGATACATTTTGTGCGACTTATCCCCATGATTCCAGAAACAGGGATAATAGAGAAGGGCTAGGTAACACCACAGAGCCCTGCTATATGGACAACCAATTGCATTTCCTTCTAAAGGATACAGCACAATCCAGATGACCTTGAGATGCATGGGCTTAAGGGAACAGTTTCATAAATGAGTACAGCAAACATCAGAGAGAACTGAATTAGACAGACAGACCATACAGACCCAAGTGAACTTGAACATTGCTGTCATAGCACTATTCATAATTTTTCTCTCCAGAACAAAAGGAGTCAGTAGGCATCTGTCTATGTAACAAGACAAACTTCAGAGCAGCTCAAGTCCCCATATAATTTACTTTGGGTAATTGCATATATTTGCTTTTCAAATATTTCTTAGCAGAGGAGCCTTAAGAGGCTGAATGGTAATGTGAAAGAAGCTAGTAGAGAGGGAGGGGGAGATGACAGCAGGCAGAAAGAAAAGAGAGGAAAGCTAAATGAAGGCTCCCTACTGCATTCATTCACTTCAGAATAACACTGCCTGCTTCTGCGAAAGGTCTGTGAGACCCTTCACAGTAATTCAGGAGCTTGTCATCAGATTCACTTTTCAACTGAAAGGCTCATGAAACAAGTTCAAAGAACTGACTGTCAGTTCTGTCTCTGAGTAGAGCTGAAAGCAGCTTTTTAACCTTGTGTTTTGCACGGTCTTGTCTGCCCAGCACATAGTGCTGGTCAAGATTACAGAACATTTTCCTTGCTGAATGCCAAACAGCTGTTATGAAACACATTTGGTGGAACATATATAAACACATGTCTTAGTGTTTTCTCATAATAATAGCCCAAAAAAGCCCCAAAACCTGAAGCTGATGGGGGAATGCAAAATGACATCCTGGTCCATAGCTGGTCTTCATGCCACATGTTTTAAAAACCTGCTGTGACCCAGGAATCTTTGAAGATGTGCTATCAGACACTCAGGCTACAAATTAGTAAACTAAATATGGGGACTCTTCATTTCTTATCAACAGCACAGCACTGCGAAGGCTCTGTGAATCCATGCGCCCTTGGTCAGAGCCCTGACAACAGGTGCTGTGACCAGGCCTGATTTTCTGTTTCCCAAAACCACTTGGGCACGGGTATTCTTGTACTACAACTAGTAATTTGTTTGATGATTGCCATGGCCAAAGGACAGAAGGCACAAGAACAAGATATGTTCAAAGAAGTTGACTGTTGAGACTTAGGGATCTTATAAGACCATGCTTGAGTTTCACACTGAGTCCCATTTTTCATCTGTCAAGGAATAATGATTTGTTAGGAATGATGTTCCAACTGAATGATGTTTTTCTTTCATTTTCGAAAGCTGAAAATGGAATTAAGTCACATCTTCTTTACAAAGAAGATGTAAACAGCATAAGAATGGGGTAAACGAAGTAATCAAAAATACATTTAAAATATACAGAGAGTGGTGGCAATTTCAGAGGAATTTTTGTTATAGTAAGTAGCTCTAGGAGAAAGCGGCCTAATATGCCAGAGTCCCTCAGTTTTCAGGTAAACTTTCCGTTTCTGAGTATTCCAACAGTTACTGGTTTGGGCTCCAAATAACCTCAAAGCATCTCATCTTAAAAACTTAAAACCATCCCAATAATTGTATTCCTAGTGAGTAAAATATGTAAGCTTCTGCTCAAACCCCACCAATTTAACAAAATGTAAACCTGCAAGTGAGTGCTTAGCTGGGATGTGCTAGGATCATCTTCAAGCATCATTCAAGCACTGCTGCTGGGCTGAATTAAGTCAGAAAAATAGTTGTCAGGATTTCTGTAAAGGCATCTTAACCCTGTTAGTCTCAACAGGAGTTGAGCCGTTCATTTCCACAGGGACAGCATCTCCCTTACAGGGAACCTGATTTTTCCCTGTGCTGCTTCAGAGTGAAGCTGACACAACTTCACTAGCAACTCCCACGTAAAATGGTGTAATACAGGGAAAGACTGAGTGCCAGGTTTCCATTCCTGACCTCTAACATAATGTTGACATAAAGTACTGGTCAAGGTCCCAGCCCCTTCCTGCATCTGTTCATTATCTGTAAAATACTTGCCTACTTCCCAGGGAAGCAGTAACCATAATTTTATTAATAAGTGCAAAAGCACTTCGAGCTTCTTAGATAAAATGCACTGCACAAATATTGTCCAGGCCAATATTTTTACATTATAAACTAGGCAGAAAGTGGAAAGAACAAAGAGGAATGGATTAATTGCTACATTCATTTAATATAATTCATAAATGGATAAATGCTTGTACCTACTTGACTTGGCAACGTTTACAACATTCTAGAGCAGCAAACCAAACAGACTGACAAGAGGCCGGAGCAAATCCCTGCAATAAAGACATAAGTAGTAGACAAGCTTTACATTCTTATTAAGGCTGCTTTTATCCCAGAGCTGCAGATGTATATACATATAATACTCCAACTTGCTCTTAACAGTTCTAAACTTACTGAAATTTATTCAAATAGCTACATGAATTAGTTGCATAGAAGAGAAATGCAGTCTTATAGGTCAGACTGCATCTTGTGGTGCTATTAAGAAACAAGAACTTTCAAAGAAACATGAAAAATCTATTTGAGTTGCATTCAGTCAACTGGACTTTTCTGTAAGATGGTAAATTATTTTGTCTTCTTTTTCCTTAATGTAAAGGTTAACAACAGAACATCCGGGACACTATGGAGAAGATATGGACATGATGATGTACACTTATGACCATTACATCCGTGGGGCAACCACAACTTTCTCTGCTGTGGACAGGTTTGCTTTTCATCCGTTTCACTAGAAATTAAAAAAAAAAAAAAAAAAGTTTTCCTTTTCTATTTCTCCCAAACAGTGCATGACTACACATCATCTGCTGTGGTACTCAGCATCAGGCTAGTACTTCTGAGGACCAAAGTTCACGGTGCATGTGGCTAATTGTCCAGGGTGGTGTATCAGGAAAAGGGCATCTTCATGCTCAAGGGGATCATCTGCCATGTCCATCTGAGTAGTGAAAAATATAGCAATGGTAGGCTTGGCTAAATCTGAACTCCACAAAGCTTAACAGATCTTCAGCATTGTTTCTCACTTACCTCTGGTTAGAGCATCTTTTATCTAACCCAGTAAAAACTCAGCCTGGAACACCCTGTCCTTTCAAGGGATGAGGGACTTATTTTGGCCCACTTTTCTTTGCAGAGAAGTGGGGTATCTTCCAGCATGCAAAGATAAGACCATACAAACCGCAGTCTGAATGCTGTAAACTGCCCAATCCATTGGAACACAATACTAACAGATCTGAGGCCACACCAGGAATTAAGGCAATGCAGTGCACATTGATCCCTTTCCAGAAAATGAGTCCACTACTTTTTCTTGATCAGTCCTGGTCATTACTTGACCAGGCCCTATGAGGCGCTATGGCTAGTGAAGTTATGGTTGGATCTTGATTCTTTCGTCTTGAGCTGACCTCTAATACATCAACTGTGAGTTATTTCTTCGCTGATGTTTTTTATCAGACACCTCAGCCCAGTATATTAAAGCATTTCTTGCCAAACACAGCACAGACAGCAAGGCAAGGTGCGCTACACTGGCCTATTGTTGCCAAGACTGGCTACAGGAGAAGCGGGGAGAGAAGAGAGAAGGAGGAGTTTAAACACACCAACTTTTCAAGCTGTCTCTAATAAAGGAGCCGAGGTGCTTTTGTCACTATGACGGTCTCAGCTTGCTGGACCTCAGCCAAAAGATTACCTAAAATAAGAAGACCTTTCCAGAAATGATAACACAGTCAGACTGCTGCAGGTTCATAACTGTAATTTTCTGGCTAAAATTCATTAGCCTGTTTATTAACAAATGGAAGCCATGTCTGCAAATTATTCCTACAAGCGGAAGCATAACTTCCACAGTTAATTAACTCAAAGGTATCTATTTATTCCTTTGGATAAAGAATTTACAAGCTTGCAAGGGACATCCCTGTTCTGGGTTTTTTCTCTTAAATATTACCCAGTGCTATTCTTAATCCTTGCTCCTCACAGCCATGGCAGAGAGTAGGGGAGATAGTGCAGACAGTGCGCTCCCTTGCAGCTGGATTCCAGCCTCCATTGGATGTGGACCAGGGTAAAGTCAGGAATCACAAGGACAAGCCTGGAAAACAGAGCAGCTGAGGTAACCGATGCCTCTGAGCAGATTTCTGTCTGTGACTGTTGAAGGCTTAACACAGCCTTCAGAACAGGGACTGGGCCAGGAGTGGAGGCAGCATCACGGGGATGTACATCGGGAGTACAGGTCTTCACAGGTTATGGGAACACAGTACCTGGAAAGGGAAGAAGCCACCACCACCTTTGTCCTACCACTGCGGTGACACCACAGATGAACCTGCAATAGTAGCAGGTGAAAACCATAGAGAAAACATTTTACGAATTGCAATATAGGAAACTTCTCTGTGCCAACGAACTTTCTGGCCCCTGGCTTCCGGAATGACTAAAACCAACTTGTGTTGCCTCGTGTAAGAAGTGAAAAAAAATCCTGCTATGCCAGTTCATAATTCAGATTCATGCAGTAACTCTCCTGAGTGGTATACTCGCAGAAGTCGGCTAAGTTTGTCATCCTAAATGGTTCTTTGCAGCTGGTTGAGGCAGCATAGGAGCAAAAAAAGCTATTCCCAGTCCCAGCCTGCCAGCAGCACGCACACGTGCATCTTGTCTGTGTAAACATGCTGTAGATTTTGAGACTGCTTTTCATTTTCAAGCACGTTAAACTTGTGTCCATACTATTTAGCCCATGACAGGCAGTGTTCTTGAGCTAATGAGTGTCACAAAAAAAGCCTTTGAAGGTATTTTAGTTTAAGCTTTCCCAATCACTTCAAACAGTTAGGTATTTTTAGACTTTTTTAATAAACTTGAAGAAATCACATCCTCCTTTCCTACTCCCTAAGACATTGCATCACTGGGGTCACTGCTGATGCAGATATTTGAGAGAGCATGTGATGCCTCTGGCAAAAGCTGTAGAAAGTTTAGAAAGGTGGTATCCCCATCTCCTCTTCTGTAATCACTCTCTGAGAGTTTCCACGCCTGTGTATCATCAGGAATGAATGAAGGAGTTGCTGTTCATCATCAGAGGTTCTAAGTGCTATCTGTGGAGAACAGATTTTAGAAGTGGTTAATATTTACATTTTTCAGTCCCATTTTAAATAGGTCAAAAGGAGAAAACAATTGTCTATAAAGCAAGACAAAAGCAGCTGGAAAGAATTAGCAGAGGCTTGAAGTATCTCTGGGAGCACATTTGGGAGCGTGGTGATAATGCTGATGCAGACAGGATGACCTATGGACATAAGTAAGGGAACATTTGCAGGGAAAGGCAGTATCTTTTGTTAGACAGACTGATACAGTCAGGTTTCAGAGGTGGACATGGAGTATATGAAGCAGGTTGTAAACAATTGAAACTGCCCACATAGACACGCACATTGTAAACCCTTGACAAAATAGCTTCCAAAATTAAAAAAAAAAAAAAAATTAAAATAGCTTCAAAATAGCTTCAGCCTGAGCTCTGAAACACTCTAAGTGATGATGGCATGGCTCCCTCGTGAAGCCTTGTTACGGGGCTGTGGTCTGATTGGGTTGGTCCCTCGAGTCCAGAGAGCACCACTGGAACATTCTCAGCCCAACCTGCAGGGAGTAGCTTGGACAGGGAGGTGGGGATTACCAGACGTGCTTGGTAGGTGCCACAGCTTGCCCTTCGCTGCGTTCTATAAAAACAGCACATGAAGACTGACAGAAGCTCATTTCTCTTACAAAACTGTTCTCTGCTGCATTTATTTGGGTGATCTGAATAGCCGGTAATTTCTTAACTGCTCAGACATCATCACTGAAAGCTAGATCAACACCCAGATACCCCAGCAGTAAGGACATTTGAAATGCCTGGACAAGCTGGATATCTACTGAGCTCAGCTGAGCTAAATTATAGGGTATTTTAGGTCCCTAATAAGTTTCATATGACCAAAGAAAGAGGATTTTGTCAAACTCAATATGAATAGGAATTAATAGAATTTTTTAAGTGAATTGGAAACAGATTATTTGGCAATATTTGGAGATAAAAGGTATTTTCCCCATAGCATCAAAAATTCAAATCTGACAGCACATGACAGCTGGAGAGTAAAAGTGACAATTCAGTGTTGACTTCCCAAGCCAAGGAAAATGCATGAAATTAGCAATTTGGGGGGGGGGGGGGCAGACACGACTTATAAACTTGTGTTAAGGATCTGCAAAGGCAAGTTCATATATATTCCAGAGTATTCCACTTAGGGCAATTCCTGACAGGATCTGCACCCCCACTGGAAAACTTGTAAGGGATCTACAAATTGAAACAGGCTGATAACTATTGAATTAAACACACAGTACCAATGGTACAAAGTAATTGCCTGCATACTGAAAAGTTGGACATACATGCTTAACTTCAAACACAAGTAATGCAAAAAAAGATAAATTAAGATACTAAATGCATAAACCTATTGGCCATCAACCATGTGCATATATGCTAAAGTGTCTGCAAGTTCAATCTTAAATTACAACTTCAGAAATAATTCTGTTCTAATATTTCAAAGCATGTTATTAATTCAGGTAACTAAAATACATTTATTTTAAAGAACTTAACTTTTAACTTTACAATATCCCTTTTTAGAAAAATGACTTGACCTTAGCTTTTAAGCTAAAAGTCTCTCTGACAACGGGTGCTAGTTTAGCAGACCTTAATTTTGACCCATATAATCCTGTTAATCCACGAGTCATCTCTTTTTTTTTTTGTCTCTCTGGGTAGCTCAGTGACCAAAAGAGTAATAACAGCCTTTGAAGAGCATGCACATAGTCCAAATGAGGACTTCCTAAAATAAACCTAAAAATGAATCTTGCATTTCATTAACCTTTGGTAACAGTTTTATGAGGCAATTACAATTAAAAATCATCTAGGAAAGGCCTAAAGAAAACCAAAAATAAACGCTGTACAACTAAATGCAGACTTGCTGATGAGTATGAGATAGGCCCAGTTCCAAATGACACTCAGCATAAACTGGTGAAGTAGCATAGAAAATTTCCAATTAAAAAACCTCAGTTAATGAAAGCTGAAATGAGATGCTTTATACCTACAAAGAGCTTAAGGGTCAAATTCATTTTATTCCAGGATAGAGTCACCCAGCCAATGAAACCATATAAAAGCAGTTAATGCCAAAATCTGGGCCCAGGTGTCTCAGCACATCCCTAAGAGGCAGCAGGTTCTGCACCAGTTTCCTCACTGTTTGGAGCTGGCCACCAGAAAACCAGGACTGCGCAGGGATCTTGTAAAGCAAGCTCCTATTGAACCAATCCAGCAGCATTACCTGTCCCATGCCTCAGGTTTAGGAGATAACTATTAGCAGAATCCAAACTTTCAGAAACCTCTTGGAGTACTACCCATTACCAATTTAAATGACGGCTGCCATCTGCAAGGACTGTACTTTAGATCTAAACTCTTGTTAGCCAGTACCAAGCAGCCTAAATTGAACATTTGCTCCACAGCAGGACAGTATTTGAACCTCTGAACTCATGCATTTTTGTCAAGGGAAAATTTAACGCACAATAAGCTAAGGTGGAAATTTGCACTGTTGCAGCTATTGGACACTAAATCACTGGCCTCCACTGTTGAATCCTGCTGCTCCAGCCATGCTTCCTACTAAAAATTGTTAGTAGGTATTGTATCACTCTCCTGAGAGAGAATACAGACATCCAATTGCTCACAAACCAGGAACAGCATAAACTCTCCTCACACTCGTAAACGTTACTCTGCCTCACACATGTCTTGTGGAGATCAAGGATGAGAAGTGAATTTAATTTCTCTCACTATTGATTCCTTCACATCTTTAATAAAGGACACTAGCTAGAAGACCTCGTAGTGGAAAGAAAAAAAAACAGAGTGAATTTTGCTGTGTGGATAACTCCCCACTTAGAAATAGCTTGAAAATCACCCATGTATTTTACTTTGTACACATTCTTGAGCAATATATCACATGACAATAACTTTTGAGAGAACCATCCTTTTCCTCTTGGTCACTGATTTAAAGTCAATTTAGGATTGATCACCATCAAGCGTCATTGTCTTCTGAAGGATACTCAGAGACCTAATTATTCAGAGAGCTGATTTTCTTACCTTGTAAGGGAATGTGAAGGAATTATAACTATCAGACATATTTAATCTCCTTCCAGCCCATAAAAACACAAAACATTCAGAGGAAATTCAGCTAATGGCAGACAGATGTTTTTGTTGCCACAATACCTGGTGTGAAGTTATTCTTACTTGTATAGTCTTATCCTTTGCAGTTCTGGCTCATTAATATCTCTCTCTTGTCTCTCTTCCATGCAGGGATCGTCAGTGGAAATTCATTGTCTGCAGGATGACAGAGTATGACTGCCCATTTCAAAATGTTTAAAAAGATCGAGTGTACTCAACTTGGAAAGCTTGGGGATGGACAGGGTGGGATGAGGCTCAGTGATTACGGGAGAAAGGCAATTAGGCTCACAAAAAAAGTACCAAGACTCATCAGCTGTCTGCTGAAGATACAATTCTTTCCCTCTGGAGCTATTAAATAAATTGCCAGCCCACGTGCTTGCAACAGCAATTTTGGGGGATTCCTTCAAGCTGCACTGGCAGTTGTATCCCCCGACTAAAATTGCTTACAACATACACGTTTATGATACACAAGTCTGTGGCATATGCAGTTACCTTTTTTATACATACATATAGCCATTCTGAACACATACAACCTTCTTTCACATAGCAACTTTATATAAATTGCTTCCCAGCACAGTCACTCTGAATGAGGTGGAAACATACTATAAGCTTTCCAACATCCACTAGACTTCCCTGTCTCTACTTTGTACTTGGAACCAACCCAGTGATCCCTACCAGCTTCTCAGCATTTAGTAGCTGAAAGTGTGCTGAAAGCAGCATCAGGAGGTCTCTGACGTACTGCATCTGGCGTTACCTGTTACAGCCCTCAGCATAACTCCATTGCAACAAAGGTCTGCCTGCACAGGAGAATTCCAGGTATTTACAACACTGGAAGACGTCAATACCTGATTAAAATGAGAGTAGATCCATCAATAAAAACAGAAGTCTAACCCAGCTTTACTGAGAGTCTCTTTTTTATTGTCTTAAAAGTCTCTAATGACATAACTAGCTAGGAGCTCTACTCTGGGCAAACCCAGGAGTAGGTGAGGCCACTTGCACTCTCAGTAAATATGTATACTGCACTTGTCAGGAGTCTACTTTTCAGGTAGATTGGGTTTCCACTATGGGTGCCTGTACAACATCCATCTGCCCTTGGTAATATATTATTGGCTTAGAACAGGCAAATAAAGCTAATGACTTAGGTGACCTCAGTTCCTCCAACTTGCAGATCTCATTCCCTGTAAAGGATAAGCTGACCACGTTTCAAGACTGCACAGCACTTGTGCAGCTGTAATTCAACAAGAAAAAGTATTGATCTCTTCCAGGAAGATCTGAGGTAGGATTTTGCACAGTTTCTTAGCTGATGAAGTCAATGGTAAGCTAGCAGTGGCTTTGGCAGTGCTGGCTCAAGGGCCATGATGACCCTGTGTACCAATTTAAGGTTGTAAAGCTCCATAGGAAACAGTGGTGTCAGCCAGTCAGTTTCCATGTTCCAAGCATTTTTAACATATTTACTAGCATACCTTCAAGTGTGAGCATTAAAACTACATTTGTCTAATAAAAGAATAATAGGTTTTGCATTGATGTAGCCTTGTTCTTTCTTGATTTCACTTACAATAGCTTATTAATTTGCACACAAAGAAACCTTCTGTCATTCTCAGAGACCATGATAGTAATTAGGGAGTTTCTGTGAGAGCCAGTTGCTGAGACATGTAAGTAACAGTGGAAAAGAGAAGTCAAGAGGCCTAGGGAAGCTGGAGGAGCTTGTTAGCTGACACTGGTAGACAGGCAAAGGAAGCCAAGAGAGCTCCAAACAGGGGAGCACCTGAGGAGAAGGCACTCACGCCAGGCACTATAATTAGGCATAGAAGGATCATATCTGGGAACACCTGCTCTAGATGGACACCCGTCTCCCACACAACTTTTTCTTGACTACTTAGGCTGCTCTCAATTCTGTGTGCAGACTATGGGTTCATGGAGGCCTCTGAGGGGACAGTGCAAGATCAGCTTAAGCTGATTTAGAACCACAGCGCCACGGAAATGAGCAGTTCTGCTCTCTTGTCCACTGGAGCTGCAGTGTCATATTGTCCCATATGCCACCTTTCTCCTCATCCCTGTCCCAGTCACTTCCTTCCACCCATGCTCTATTCCCAGCTCCACCCTAGCAGTGCATCTGTGTAGGATACATTTCACAGGACTCCTCTTCAGAAAGTTAAGTAATTCTCAGATGAGGAAAGGCGTGGGTGGGAAACAGAATGTATCTTGGGGGAAGGCAGAAATGGGATGTGGACCAAAAAAAACCAAAAAGCAGAACTGAGGCAGAGAAAGAGTGGTTCCTGTGAAGTCCTAGGACAGCTAGTTAGCAAAGCTAGGAACTGAACTTAGCTTTTATCTAAGTTTTTATCTAAGTTGCAGCATCCACTTCTAATGTTTACGTAATCTTTGCGTGTGGGAAGACATTGCTCCAAAGCTGATAAGGTTCCAGCCCAAATTCCTCAGCACAGAGCAAGGCGATGATGAGCCTGCTTGCAAAAGTTCGCTGGTTTCAAAACCTGATCAAGCCTGTTTTGACTCTCCTAAAGCCATTCTGGAAAAGTGAGCCTTTCAACCTGCTTAGGACACCTTACCGAACCTGAACCACCTTTCACTCGTGCTAACACAAACTAGATGCCATTGCAGGGAAACAAACAGAGTTGTGCCTATTCAGACCAAGTGCAACTGAGCGCAGATGCCCAGTACAGGGAGCCCACAGAACTTCATTCTCATGTGTTCCATGGCACAGAAGCACCCCACCTACACTTGTACTATACGGAGTAAAAGTCACCCCTGATCTGAGAGCCAACACAGAGCCTATGCATTACTGAAGTCCCATATAGGCCTAACATTTTAAATAAACCCTTATTTTTTAATAAACAAAACATCAGGAAATAAAGACTTATTTATTTAATAAATAACAACAGTATGGATTGAATTCAAACATCTGAGAGAAAAGCACTCTTTCGTAAATGCTGAGCGTTGCCCCAGTCATGCTGCAAGGGCTGCAGATGGCATACTGTCAGCGTTGTCAGCGATTTTTTTAGATAAACTACAGCAGGGTAATCTTTGCATTCACAAAGGGAAATGCAGCAAACTTCAAAAAACAAGGAGAACCTTTTGAGCTTTTCTAACTCTAAATAAAAAAGGTGAAGAAGAAAAAGTGGGGTGGGCTGGCTGGGGAAGAGAAATACCAACACTGACGCCCTTTGTGGGTCTCCTTTAATCTGAAACTCAGTGAAGGCTGGTGCTACCCCAAACCCACATCCTCCATTTGATCCACTCCTCTTGAAGACAGGCTTGAGTAAGAGAACAGCATGAGTAATTGGGGAAAGCACAGACAATTCTATCAACGCCAAACAGTCAAAGAGGAGGACTTGACCGCTCTTACTCCCAAATCTCAAGATTAACTTAAAAACCATGGGACTTTTATAGAAAAAAGAGCTCTATGTTTTTCATATATTCTGATTTCTCAGTTTGCAGAGTATATAAGCACTTCCAACATTTTTCAACATTTTTCACTTTCACTATTTTTCAAGTGCTTCAAACAGTATTTTTCAATTACTTCTCAACAATGCTGAGCCTAGAAATGTGTTTTTTAAGTGAATGCTGAGATTCTTGTTTAATCACTTGACAATGAGAGCTGGAATTAGTTTTACAGGACATCAAATACTATGAGACTAATGACAAATGTATCAGACTTAGCAATACAGCACTGATTAAAAAAAGAAATAGCAAACCCATAGCCATGTTGAAATAAGGCGTATTTCCTGTAAAATCAAGAGAGACCTTTCAACTTCTTCCAGTCCAGTGTTCAGGATTTTGTAATATGAGATAAACCTGGCAGAGAGTCATGGCATCACCTAAGCAGAGAGATGCCAACACAGCTGAAGGGAAACCAGTCTGTGGATGAAGCAGAAGACCTGGCAGAAGACCAGCTGGCTCTTAGGAAAACTTACTTAGGCTTGACCCTTGACTCACAGCCATTGAATCTTTTTCTGGTTTTAAACTTTATTTCAAGCCCATGTTTATCGCACCAGCAACATGTTACTGTACTGGCCTGCATCTTTAAGGCTACAGTACTGTTTGCAAACAGAGAGTATGAACGTCACTGGTAGTGGCACTTTGTGCCAGAGTTGTTGGCGTGAACCGTAGGCAGGAGGAGTTCTGCTAATAACACATTATCAAACATAAAACATTGCTTGTGCCTAGATTTACTTTTCAAGACACAGTAGTTACACAGGGGACTGCTACCTTATTCCTCACTATTTCAGGGTACTGGTATGTGTGTAGCTGATGCTCTGCATAGTAATCCGGACCTATGCATCGAGAAGTTTAGAAAAGGCAGCAGGGCTGCCCACATGCTGAAAATGAAAGACATGCACAAGTGCCTGTGGGTCAGAGCCAGCAGGCTTGGCTCTGTCTTTCTGAGCTCCATACCTGAACAGCATCGATTTCAGTCTTATCCAGCTTGTGAACTTTGGCCGAAATCAATGGAGTTCAGTCTTAAGCAAGAGTCAGGCATCTAAATACTTTTCAGGATCTTAGCTTAGCTGGTGCATCTCTACAAGGAAGACTGGAAAAACTGGACCTTGAGTTAGAGGGAATCAATCGAAGAGTGTGCCAAGATACACAGGGACAGACAAGGCACTGTATATTCTTTTCATACTTCCTCAGACATAAAAGCCCTGAATTGGTCAGGCAGTTGGACTAAATGATCGTTGTAGGTCCCTTCCAACTGAAATAGTCTATTCTATTCTATTCTACTTGAAAAATCTAACTGACTTAACCTCATGAAGACCAGAACACACTCTGCCTTAGGTTGTCTTTAAATCATTTAAGAAGAATAAAGAGAAGTTTTGCTGAGCTTAGCATTAAAGCTATGTCAATAGGATAAATCCCAGTATGTAAAAAAAAAGGCACAGCTACATTTTTGCAGGATGTGAGCTTTAGTTTACATGCAGGATCAAATTCTCCAGGCCTTGCCTGAACCATACAAGTCACCACACTGCAGAATCTGGTCCTAAAAAGATCAGTTCAAATTGTGGAGAACACAGAAGATGACACAGGTGCACAAGAGATGGTTCTATCTGAGAGAAAACTCAGGGGAATGACAAGAATTGAAGCGAAAACGGTGAAAAAGAGACATGAAGCCACCTGAAGAATATACCATTATGTAATTTCTTAAAATAAATGCATGTTCCTCTATCTTAGGAGATGAGATGACTAGGATAATTTAATACCAGCAAAATTTCAAGAATTTGGAGAAAGCTCCCCAAATAACTTCGCAAAGAAAAAAGCTAGCACAGTATATCAAATACCATCCTTGAAAAGCAGAGGATTTGCCAAGTGAAGCAGAACCAACTGATAATGTTGATATAATTCTTTTAATCTGCATTGGGAGCTCTTAACCCTTGACCAAAGAAAACAGAGAGATGAGAACAGAAGGAATAAGCTAACAATGAAGTGTGAGTAGAAGGAGGTGTGATTACAGATAAAGAAAGAGGCAAGAAAAAAACAAAGGCAAATAAATTCTCAACAAACTAAAGAAAATGGGCCTTTGGCACAACATGTGGCCCCAGAACTGAACTTCTAGCTTTCCATGGTTGTGTGAGGCTGCATATAAGGTTTTGCTTCAGCTAACATAAACACATTGCTCAAGCTACTTTAAAGTTTGAAGTTACCTAAGACTCTGTCTTGGGTTCAGACCTATGTTAAAGTGAACAAGATTTGACTTGGAAATGGACATATTCATCAGCAAAAACACTGACATAATTACACAAGTCATCCAAAATTAAGTGCTTTTGTCTTCCACTGAAATCTAAGATACCACGGCTATGTCCAGGGGTGAATGTGATTCCCATCCACTGGTTTCCATCCAGGCAAGCTGACAGGTTTTTTTCCTCCTCAACCTTTACTTCTGTTTT